AAGGGGGCCTTACTCTGGGGGGATGGGCTGCTGCTTCTGCTCTTATCAAGAGCAGGTCATCGGTAGATGGCAGATGCTGATTGCAGGCGGAGGGTACCCGTTCCTTGATGAAAATGAAAAATGGGTGGCCACAGAAACTGTAACATCTTCAAGGGAAAATAATATTTATATTGCTGGAAAAGTGAGTCTATGAGGGGGAAAAAATGGGGGATCTAAATCAATAAATTGATAGGGGAGCGACACATCCACATCCTGGAGACACGCCATGGCACATCTGATGGCGAGATGGTGCCTAGGGCCAGATCCCGGATCCCAAGGCACAAGTGCGTTTCCCCCAATTAAAATGGTTTCTAATCGTTAAAAAAAAACCATCTAGTACTTGTGCCATGAGTTAAAGAAGAACCCTATCTTTAATAATGATTTAACAATAGACATTTCCATCTATCTGATATAATTTGTGGAAAATTAATATACTTTCCTCGCATGTATATAATCACCTAAATTGATTAGTCTGCTGATTAAAAATAAGCACTTTTTTAGTGCCATAAATTACGAGCTTACTTCTGATAAAGATTAAAAAAAAACTAAAGGGATCCAAAATGTAAAGATATTGAAGTAATATATATTTCATTATTCTTTATCTTTCACTTCCCTTTGCCTCCGTCCTTGTCTGTTGCATTAACTTTATGATTTAAGTGACGAAAGCTGCGAATGCTTAAATTAAGCAGCTCAACTCACCATCTCCCTTGCACCTCACTATCTTGCCATCTTGACATCTCGCTTTTGCAGCTGCCGCTGCGCAGGCGCACAATTTAATGTTGTTTAAGCCTGCGCCTAATTGATTGCTCCCGTTATTGTTGCTACTTCTACTTGTTGCAAGTATGAATTATTATTTATTTTTATTGAAGCCAAGCGGCAGTGGCGTTTTCGTCACATTTTTTTGCGTAGCGTTCGAATAAAAAAATATACTCAAGTTGAGTGCAGAAATTTATTTGTTTTCATTGCTATTGTTGTTGTTGCTGCTGCTGTTGGGCTGCAGAAATTGTGTAATAAATAATTTACGCTCGCTTTTGCAGCGTGCCACATAATCATATTCAATAATAATAATAAAAGCACCAACAATAACAACAACAACAACAACAGTCTCCCCCAGTTAAAGGGGTATTTGCATGGTGAGGAAAAAAGACAGATATAGAGCTAAAGAGGGAGATAGCGACAGAGGGCGGGCAGCAGCTTGTTTGGGTCGCTGACCCAGAAATGTCAAACGGGGAAGTCTTTTAATTTTTATTTCTCCATACTCCAATTTTTGAGCCTCTATGGGGATATATTGGAGAGCTTGCAGAGCTGGAGACCTGATTTGTTTAATTTTACTGTAGAGTTTTGGATGAATTTCTGATATTATGGAAAGATCTTCACTTTCAAGACGTTATGAAATATTTAAAAAAAAATAGTTTGTTGTTCAGAGCATCCTTTTTAGGCCCCGTGAACCGGAAACCGTTTTTTTTTGGTCCCATTGGTGTGAGATTATACCTAAAATTCCTTTTTAACCTTCTTAATTAATTTATTTATTGAACTTCTTAATTATGCCTCTAAATAGTCTATGATAAAGAGATAAAAAACCCTTCCTTAGACATCTATCAAAAATGATTTCGCCATGACCACTCCAAAGTACCTCTTATCTCATGTCAGAACCCCTTTAATTTTATATTTTTTTTAACGCTTGCACAATCATGACAAATGCAGAACACCAACACCCCTCCCCTTCCCCCCAGACACACCCCTAATTCATCATATTTCTGTTTATTTATCGCTTTATCCACAGCCAATTCGACGACAAAAAGCACTCATATTACGCTTAATCAGTTTCGCTCGGACATTTTCCTTCCTCAAGTAATTGGAGTTCCAACTTAAAAAGCTTAACAAATAAACAAAAAAATAAAACAAGATTAAGAAAACCAAATAAAAACCATCTTAAAAAAATAAGCAAAGCTGAGCTGAGTAAAAACAAAAGAACAAATCACAAAAATCGAGCCCCTTTTTCTGTGTTATCCCTGTTCCTGCCTCTCCTCCTTGCTTTGCCTTGTTGCTTTTGGACTTCTTCGCTTGTTGCATGCTCGCTCATGTTCATTTTCTTATTTTTATGTGGATGTTAGCTTATGTGTGTGAGTGTGTTTATGAAATACGTGGTTTTTTTTAATGAATTTCATCATGTTGAGCAATCCTTGCATTATGTATCTCAAGCTTATCTTTACTGGATGTTATCAGCATATCTTTTGAACTCAATTAACCTGGAACTTGGATTTAAGGTAAAATATACAAGTTTTAAACTTATATTCAAGAACAAATTAATAAAAATTTGGAAAAATAGCAAGACAACATAAATTTGGGTAGAAATCTTAAATTGATATTAAATTTTGTCCTAAATTAAAACACATTTACCTGTAATTAAATAATGAAATGAGGTAACAAGTGAATCGAAAACAAACGTGTTTTACTGTATTATCCTAACTTGATTATAAACAACAAATCCGTTGTATGTAAATATGGCAAGCATAATAACACCTGAACCGTTAACAAAAACGGTGTTAATTAAATAAGCCATCAATATGTGATTATCACAATCGAATGTGCCATAAAATTTGGATTAAATGCATAAATACAATTCTGCGCGTATTTCGTAATTTTTTTTTTTAAGCATTTTCGCGCGCAAAGTTGCCGGATGACAGAGACAGAGCTAAAGAGCGAGAAAGAGAAGGAAAAGGCCTGTTTCAAGTGTGGGAGGGAGAGGTTCAAAGCGAGAAAGAGAGACAGAGAGGTTGAAAACTGGTTTTCCATGTTGCAGTCAATTTTTGAAATATGGTGAAATTGATCGAAAAAACCAATATCCAATATTTAAAATCTAAAATTCTTAAAACAATAACTCAAAAAATTTGTTGGGGTCTTAAACACATAATTTTAACATCTTTATCTTTTACCTGCCTTGAAAAGGAACTGTTACAATAATTGCAAATGACTGAAAAATAATTTATAAATCAAATTATGAGTAAAAAACATAAAATTAATCTGGAAATATCTAAATCATTTTTATTGGGCTCAATTTAAAATATTTTGTAATCATTTTGTTAATAACAAACAGCTCAGAAGTATTAAATTTATGCCAACCTTTTAGTACCTTTTCCCTCCTATTTGGCTACTACCTTTTTATCAGAGTTTACAAATCTGTGAAGGCTTCTACTCCTATTTTTTAATACTTTTTATGCTGCGTTTTTCTGAAGCCTCTTAACTCTCGTTGGGCCCGCTCTTTACACTCTGCCAGCTCGCACTCTCTTTTTTCTAAACAAATAAAAAATCAAAATCAAAAACCAAATGAGAGACTAAAAAGCAAAAACAGCAACAAGAAGCGGAGAGCATTGTACAATCGCAGTTTTTGTTTTGCTTCGGTGTTCGCTGAGCAGCGCTGCCGGCGTCACTGCCTCTTCTACTGCCTTTTCTTCTGTTTCTCTGCCTCTCCCACTGGTGGTTCTTCTCCTTCTTCGGCATTTACCTGCTCAACAAGATCTTTGTGCACTCACACACACACTCGCTCACAGCTGCCCACTCACTCTCAGTTGAAACAAGAAAGAACATTGCCTTTAGCGTCCCGACCAAAGTATACCCCATACGCACTGTTGCTTGCAGGCAATAATATTTGACAACTTTTTGATGCATACATTTGGGGGCCATTTCCGGGTTATTTTTAATGGCTGGGACAGTTTTTTGACAATGTTTTCTAAACAGCGCTGAAGACTTGTGTATTTGATTTTTTTTACCATTTGTTAAGTAAAGTATGAAGAACTTTTCAAAATGTTTAAAATTTGAAATACTACGCACAACAAATTTGTTTAATGTAGTCAAAGTAAACCTTTAAATTATCTTCAGACGAAAGAAAACTCGTATTATTTTATGCACTGCCTGTGAGTATACCCTTCCACTACGCTTACCCGAGGTATTAAAAGAGCGAGATTTTTTATAATTTTTTTTTGTATTCTTCACTCACTCTCTGTTGCAGCTCTGCTTGCCCGACCCCGCAATCCATCAACTACCTGCATGCATGTGCATGTACAGGAGTGGGAATGTGTAAGAGCGAGCGAGGGAGAGCAACTGCACTGGCTGCGGCCTACGTTGCACCATGGGCAAAAGACTGTTTTTCTGACCCAATCTCTTTTATTTTTAAAAACTTAATATACGTTTTTATTAACATTATGTATAAATTCTGCGATTTTTTGTGTGAAATATTTTGTAAAACGCCCTTTTTACCACAGTTTCATTTTTTTAAATGCTATTTAATTGAAAAGTACACCTTAAACATAAAACTTAAATCCTTTAAAAATACCGGAACCACGCCAATTTTTCTTAAGCTATCTCTCTCCTGTTATAGTAAATTTTGTTCTAAGCACCGAACCTAATAATATTACTTCGCTTTAAAGCTATTAATTGCCACAAATAGTGGTCGTTCGTCCCATGGTGCGTTGCGCCTACGCCGCCTCGCTGTCGCAGCGCAGCGCTCGCTGCTGCCGTAGTTTGAGGCTCCCTTGCGAGCCGAACAGTTATTTTTTAGCCGCGGAGCCAGTAAGACGTGTTTTCTCCTCCAGAAGAAACACACAACGCTCTTTCTTTGAGTCTGCGAGTGCTTCTCAAAACAATTAACAACAACAGCAGCAGCAGTAGGAAACCGAAATCATCGTGTCGGAAATTGTTTGTGTTTTTAAATAAGTTGCAACGCGAGTCGAAAGCTTGATGAAAAATGCAAAAGAATCTGAGAAACTAAGCGAAAACTTGACTTGAGTGTTGGTTAATAAATCGAAAACAACAAAAAATATATCAATTTAATAACGACGAAAACTAATTAAATTAACCCAAAAACTGCACAAAAAATGCGAAAGTTTTTAATATTCAAAATCTTGCACAAGAAATACAAAATCAATTAAAGTGAACTCTTTACTAAAAGGTTTTTAAAACAAAACCAAAAAGAAAGAAAAGTAATAAAAACAAAAAATAAAAGCCAGCGAAGAACAATCCGAAGAAGAGCGAAGCTAAAACAAAAAGCAGGAAGAAGCGGCAGGAAGGAAACGGGATAAAAAAGGAAGGAAGCACCCACACTCACACACACACACACGCACCTACAATGGCCGTGCCCTTTTTTCTGCCCGAGGGCGGCACCGATGACGTAGCCTCCAGCTCATCGGGTGCCTCGGGCAACTCCTCCCCACACAACCACCCGCACAGCCACCCACACGCCCACAACCACAGCCATCCCCCGCTTTCTGCGCACTCCTCGAGCGCATCCTCCTCGTCGTCGTCGTCGGGAGTGTCCTCCGCCTCCTCCTCATCATCATCCGCTTCGTCCTCTTCATCCGCCTCGTCGGACGGCGCCAGCAGCGTCGCCTCGCAGTCCCCAAACACCACATCCTCGGCCACGCAGACGCCGATGCAGTCGCCAGTGCCCACTGACCAGGTGCTCTATGCCCTCTGCGAGTGGGTCAGGATCTATCAGAGCCAGCAGAGTGGTAAGTCTTTTAAAAAGATATTTAAACAGAATATACTTACTTGGGGTAAATAAATAAATTCAGGGAATCCTTAAAGAATTATAATCTAAAGAATTCAATTTTTTTGAGAAATTTTAAAGAACCAAAATCCCATAAACTGCTGGTTAACCTATTTATGAAATTTTTGAATTAAATTAGGAGCCTTAACTGCTTATAAAAATATATTTAGAACTAACTATTGAAATTGATGAGCATTAGAATACCATTTTTAATCTTTAATCAATTAATATTGTCAAAATACAAAGAACACAAGTATTAAATTATTTACGGAAGAAACCATATCAAACCAGAAACAGCATTTTGAAAATTCTTAACATTCTATACTCTAAAAATTACATTTATAAAATACTATTAATTGAATCATAAATAGAAACTTCACATTTTAATTTATACAGTTCTGTGTATTAATAATAAAAAAACTTGCCAACTAAAAGTCACATTTTATTAGAAAATGTTTCTTAGTAAAATGCAAGATGGAAATATATATTTAGAAGAATTTTTAAACTATTTTATGTGCCAAAACAAGAAGATGAAATAATATTCAGGACAAGCTTAATCTTTAAAATTGTACATTTTTATAACCATTATTCAGATTTTCAATTACCAATCATCAGCAAGATAAAGTTTGAAGATAATTTAGAATTCTTTTATTACCATTAATCAAAATAAATGAAATAAAATTTATCATTATACAATCTATATTTTCTGACCAATGATATTATTATACATTTTTACATTATAATATTTTTTACAACACTGTATGAATGTGGTATCAAATTCACAAGGAAGTATCTTGACAGGCAAGAAAGTTGTGCGTTCGCATTTTAAAATGGGTCAGCAATTAGCCAAGTTGCTGTTGTGACGTTATTTGTTAACTGCTTCAGTTCTCCCCGTGCAAGTTTCACTTTTCAAGGTTGTTGACTCATCCATCCCAGTGATCCCAGCACTGTGTTAACTGCCTTTATCCAGGTTGTTTTTGTTTTTGTTGTTCTTTTTCTGTTGTATTTTTGTGTATGGTCAGGTCAGCACTTTGTCAGCTTATCAGCTCAAAAAAAAAAAGGGAGAGCGGAAGTCAACACGAAATTTGCATTAAATTACTTGGCCAAAGTCGAAAGGAAGCCGCAACCGAAAATTGTAATTCAATAAAAATTAATCGAACGAGTTCAAAAGGGGGAAAATTGAGAAGATTGAATTGAGGGGAGGATTGAGCTGATCAAATAAACTGGAAGACACAAAAATGCAGAAACGTAAACATAAGGAATTGATCAAGGAAGGGATCAAGTTACATTGATCTTTGAAACAGTTTTGTTTACTTGCTCAGTTAACAATACCAGTTGGTATAATAATAACTCTTCGATTTATTAGGTGATTATCTTATAGTTATACTATTAAGTCTTATTAGCATACTGATACTCTCAATAAATCACACACATCCAAATGCCTTGAAAACTTAAGATCAATATCTTTGGTTATCCCGAAAATGAGCGCATAAATCTCCCGCCAGTCCCGACCAAAGATCTGTTAAGGTGGTCAAAGCCACTGCACAGATGCAAGACAACCGCCAACTTGGCTGTCATGCGATATTAGCCGTATTTCTTGGCACAATGTTGGGCGTGTGCTGCTGCTGCTGCTGCTGGACCAGCAAAAAGCGAGAAAATAAAGACCCAACCTGGCCTGGTAAACCCAGAGAGCTGGGAGCAAAAGAGCTAAGCACGTTTAATTGGCACGCGCCAAGCTCGACTCGAGTCGAATGTCTCACTTCTGAGTGCACTATATACCTATGTACATATATTGTGTAGTATCTGCTGGATACATATGTATCTGCAACGCAGTGCTCGCTCGTATCTGTGTTATGGTTTGACTAACCCAAAATTATTAAACGCCATTTGACCTTAGGCAGCTTGTTTTCGCGATTTTCCTCGTGCGGTGAGGGGCAGTGCAAACGGGTTTGAGGGTGTGGGGCCCATTTGCAAAGTGTTTGACTTAACGGTGCTTTAAGTAGCTTTTGTATTCGGCCACGTTGAGTGCGGTCAGTTTTTTGTTTTTATCTCAATTTTTAGCGCGCTTTTCATGTTTGCTTTGCGGTTTTTCATTCGCGTTCCTTAATTTTTGTGTGTTGCCTTTTGCATAATAGATTTTTGTCGCTGTCGATGATTGCCAGCTGCGGTCTAGCAAACAGCAACCATAAATTTTTGTTTTTATTTTATTTTGAGCTCTTACCTTTTTTTTTATTTTTTTGCGACTGTCAGCAACAATTGGTCAAGCCAAAAAATTATATATAGAGAGTTTCCTTCTTGGTTTTTAGAGTGACTCATTTTTTGGGCGTTTCATATTTTTCCTTATTTAATGTCATATTTCATAATTATTTATTTGAGTCAGGGAGGTTTAAAGAAATGGTGATAAATAAGATATTTCCTATACATTAAGGAATATAAAAGAAAACCATTTAAATACTATTTTTATTATTATTATATTCTTTAATTTTCCCCTTTTCAAATTCAATTTCCTCCCGCTTCCAAATCTTTAAGCAAACTTCCTTGTTTCAGACTTTGCTCCACACTTGTGGATCATGTGCTTCAGTGAGCCACTCAAGTGGATAATTTATCTAATAGTAACACGTCCCGAAACTAGTGAAGAACACGCTATGGGGCACTTGAAACAAGAACGGGATAAACTGTCGTTAACCAAGATGCGAGCACCCTTTTTTTGTTGTCCTGGTTCCCCTAACTCCCTCTCTCTTTCCTTCCCTCTTCCGTACATCCCACGTCTGAATACTTTTGGCCGCAAAAGCGCTTAGTCATCAGCTAACAGCTAGCAACCCTAAAAGCCTAAAAATGCGAGGCGCAAACAACCCCGACGAAAAATTCCTAAATACCAAAAGAGCTTTTCCGTACCAAAGGACAAAAACCGGGGCGAAGAAGGACACAGGGAGAGGGAGAGTAAGAGGGAGTCCCTTTTGTTTTGGGAGAGGATTAAGCCTCCAACAGCATCCAGCATCCTAGCACACACACACAAACACACTTACATATGCCACATATCCCATTCCAATTGGCAGCCAACAAAGGGTGCAATGACAGCAGTTGTGCCCAATAAGTGATGGGAGAGGTACAAGCTTTATTTAAAGTGTATAAATATTTTAAATATACTATAATTAAAGAAAATTCCTTGAATATATACCCTAGACATACCATAGATACTTCTAAAATCTCATAAGATAAATAATAATATTATATGGAACACATTGTACTTCTGATGGGTACAAAATAAAGTACCTTTTACCACCCATATTTACTTCCCATCTCTGATTTTTCTCCTATAAAACCTTACCTAACCTCAGTTTTTGGCCTATTCGTTTTGGCCCGCAAATTCGCATCATTTTTGCCTGGCCTCTCTCTTGGCCTTTGTTTTCGCTGTTGCCAACGCACAGCTGTTTTTTGCGCTGCTAGGCGTTGTTTTTCGCTGCCGGCGTCGCTGTCGCTCTTGACATTTTCAACCATTTTGTTTTGCTCGGCAACTTCGTTGATGCCTCGCCGAAGCTAACGGTAAAGAGGCGGCATAATGGCGGCAAAAAAAATGGCGTCTCCTGCCGCATCCTGCCTGGCAACAACAAAGCACAGCTGATGACTGCTGCGCAGGGAAAACAGAGCAAGTGAGATGGTGGCCAATGAGGCAGGGAAAGAGAGAGAGAGGCTCCGATTAACCGCAAGTTTTTGCACTCTTCGTTTTTTGTACAGCCTATCCCCAATGGGGGGTGGAGGAGGAGTGAGAATGGGCGGCCAAAGAGTGGCGGCGGATAGGTGGTTGCGCCTCTGCTTTCATCATCATCATTTGCATCTCGATTTGTTTTGGCCTGTTGCCAAGCTGATTTATATATATGTATGTATATATACACAGCAAGCTTTATGCCGAGCTATATGCGCTTCGATATATATTTTTCCATTTTGCTTTTTCTTTATTTTTTATGGCTTTTTCTGTTGTTACGCTTTTGCCTTTGCATTGACCGTGAATCTAGCTTTGCCCTGTACTTCTATTTCCTCGGAAATTGCTTTGAATCTCTGATAATTGTTTCATTTAATTTAGGTTCTTGCTTTGCGATGCTTTTTATGTTTTTTACTTCATAGTTTTTTACGATTTTACTGCCTTAATAAATTGGGCTTGAGCTCTTTTTGATGATCTTCTAAAAAGAGAAAAAAACAGCTGCGACCCATAGTAAAAATCGGAAATATTTTACTGGACCATTATTTGCTCATAAAAGTTCGTAAGTAGTTTGCCAGCTGAATACTTTTGGCAACACATGTGAAATACATTATTTTTAAAGCTTGGATATGTACTTGTTTTTCTACAAATAAGTCAGTATTCCTTTTCTCAAGTTTAAAAATGTTGCAACCTGTAAGAGAAAACCAAGCTGAACTAAATACTACGATTTATTTCATACTCCAATTAGTGATGTTTATAACTATTCAATTTCCCCTTTGGCATCTCTGATTTTTGTTAACAAACATTTAACACCGTTCAGCGCAATGAACTTTACACGTTTTTCAAGTTTAAATGGCCGCCAGGCGACAGGCACTTTGCCTAATAAGAAAAAGTCAACTGAATGCGACTGACAGCGCCATAAACTTGACACTTTCAAGGCACTATAAAAAACGCGCAATTCACCTGTGTATAGGTGTGTGTCTGTTGCCAGGATCTGGCCAAGTTGGCTTTTGATTAAGTCTCCGCCGGGGCCGTGCTAAATTGTTTGCATTGAGGCGTTCGTTCGAGGTTAAGTTGGGGGCGGCGTCAGGTGGTTTAAGGATAGTCTCGTCCTGCCGCCAAAACGTGCTCAAGTTTTTGTTATGAAATTGAGCCTAGACAAGCTGCAAGCAAATGCCATCTATCCATCCTTGACAAACTCGACAAAACTCCTTTTCAACAGCCGAGGACAAAGGGAACCTGGGCGATGCGCTCAGGGCAAAAGT